AGACAAGTGCTTCTCTACGGTGGAATAACAGTAAGTGCGCAGTTGAGGCTGTAGAAAGTGGATTTTTTAATCTTTACCTCTTCCACGCGACTTTGTTTATAGGGAGAGGGTTGTTCATAGCGACTAAAAGGAACGGGCGGGATTGTTTTACTCTCCGCTCTCTTGCTGGCCTGTCCGAATCAAGCCGACTGAAAATGAAGTTGGTCTCAATGGTTAGTTTAACGTGAAGTCGCCATCTCCACGACATGTGATCGGCATGGTCCGACGGGGTCTACCGTGTGCTCCACAGTATGTTCGTACAGGGACGGTGACAGTGTGCATTCGTTTTAAGTGGTAGTAGACTTGTGCTGAATCTACCGCACTCTCTCTTCGTTCACTGACCTGGGTCCGGGGTCAAGAAAGAGTGGAGGCGGGAGAGAGCGCAGTTGGCTGGCATGGCGTGAGCCCACACCTAGGCGTGCCACTAACGCCCCCCCCCACCCCAAAGTTCGGCGTTTTTTATAGGAGTACAACCCGATTGACGCCTGTAGTGTCCCGATTTAGTTCCTGTGTTGCTTCAATGCATCTTCGACGCGGCCCGTTTAGAGGACACAGTCGCCATCTATCTCACGCCACATAACCGTGCCACTTTGACCAATTACCTCTTGATAGCGCAGTTTTTCTTTAGCGTCCCAAATGTATTTGGCGCATGGGATAAACGGCCAGTCCTTGAGACTGAACAGCTTCACCTTCCATCCCTCTGGATGGTTTTTGATCTGGTTATGATGTTGACTAACTCTCTGTTAAGTTGACGAACTAGCACTTCTTTCATGCTATTAGTTTGCTCAAGGCATATTTTACGAAAGCCTGTGCAAATTCCCACAAACGGATTCTTAGTGCAAGTTGGGTGAAAACGTCACAAACCGTTGCAAATGACTAAACCTACGTTTTGGAGGTAAATAAAATCTGTTAAGGCGAACAACAGAGTAAAAAAAAACAGTACAAACAGCATTCTGAACTCTGCGTTTGGAATTAAACGATTTCAGCCTTTACTTTTAATCTTTCATAGAAACTCGGTAGAGCACTCGAAAAACCATAGCGACACCTGCCCCGTAGCCATTGCCCCGCGTGTGCAAAAATGAGGTTGCTTTTGTCCTCATTTCCTTTCACAGTCCACGCCAACATATGTTCCCTTATCACCTTCTAAAAAGGACGAATGCCTGCATAATTTACGTCGGTAAATATTTCCTCACACAAATCGTAAATACTACATTGAAATCGATGCTGAAAAGCAACCTAGTTCAGTCTAGATTAATGGTAGTTAGGTGCACCAGCGCTGCAACAGGAGCCCTTCAAAAACACGCTTGTGCTGTCAGTGCAAGCGGCACACTGTGCTAGATCACGCATAGCAAACGCGTCCTCATCAGGTCCCAGGTCTTGACATCAGCCCAACTAAATGCTATCATCGCATCTTAGTTTTTTTTCTGTGGTTTGAATTTAGCCGGAGCTCATAAACATATGAAATGTTGACCGAAAATGTAACCTCCTCCGTCAAAAATATGTTCGGAGAGAACGTATACTTTGATTTAGAAAAAGGAATCTTTTCAGTAACCGAATAGTTTTTAATCTGACCTGCAGCCGCTTCCAACTAACTGGATCCTTTCCTCTCAAGAAAATGCACACATTAAGCTGTTGGGAAGAATTGGCTCATATAGTGTTGCAT